GCTGCCAATATCAATCTGCACCAGTAGCAGGCTCATTAATAAAACAATAATAAGATATTAACCTATAGGCATTTTCACTTCACTTTTGTTTTTCCTAGAATAACCTCTCACTATTTTAAAAAAATCTGTCCAACTTTGGCACCCATGTGTATAACTAACTTTTTCATTTTAATATACATATCTTCTGTGTAGTCCATTTTACATCTCAGTTACACATTTCAAAGGGTAACTTAAAAAATTCAGGACATGACAGGACAGGGACCAGGGGTGCACAACTATTGGCAATGCAAGCTAGGACATACAGGCATTATAGTCCAAAACATCTGGAAGAGACCAGATTGTTTATCCCTGTATGAAATGTTATAGAGGTCAATCCATACACATTTAGACTGAAAGAAATCCTATAACTCCCAGCATTCCATAGCCAACATGAAAAGGTATTTTGGTTTTTCTAGGGAGAAAAAATGGTTATCTGGCCAATTCAAGCATTTCATTTTTAGGACAGGGTAATATAAAATTGTGTGGCTGTATATTTCCCTGTTGAAAAAGAAAATACTTAAATTTGCTAGATATGTTTTTGAATAAAGTCCCTTCTTCTGAGAGCTGTTAAAAGTAAGCCCTTGCAAAAAAAAAAAAAAGGGGGGGGGAATAGATGTAGATTTTCCCTTCCTAGAATAACAAGAGTCCAGGAGAAATGTGGAAAAGGTGGAGGACACTGGGAACTGTCATGAGAATAAACTAGAGGATCACACCTGAAAAGGGAGGCTATACTTGCCAATCACTGTGGCCACTTTGATTTTCAAACTGCAGCTGTCAAGCATGTACAAAGTACTTTATACAGAGCCTCAGCTGTTCAATGTCTCACAATCCCTTTTTTGTTTTAATCAATCTAAATAGTTCCGTGTTATCAGCAAACCTGGCCCCTTTACTGCTCACTCCTAATTCCAGATTATTTTTTATCACATTGGTCTCAGTACAGATCCTTGTGAGATATCATTGTTTACATCCCTCCACTGGAAGAATTCACAATGTTCCTCTCTTCTCTGTTTTCTGTTTGTTAACTAATTACTGATACAGAAGTGGAGTTTTCCTCTTATTTCAAGACTGCTAAATTTGCTCAAGAGTCTTTGATAAGGGACTTTTGTCAAAAGCCTTTTGGAAAGCCAAGTAAACAACATCTACCAGATCACCCCTACCTACATGTTTATTGACACACTCAAAGAATTCTGGTGAGACAGGATTTATCTTTGTTGAAGCCATGTTGATTCATGTCCTTCATGATTAGAGGGCTGAGAGGGTGAGAATAACACTGTTATCATCTGTCTGGTACACTGTGGGTTGCTCCCCAAACAACCCACACTATGTAGCTTATTCTTAGAATGAGTTCCCATGGCACACAGACTTTCTCTGTCTGTTCAACAAGTTCAAGCTGCTAAATTGGTTGTTTGGTATCCATCATTGTTCAAGAATAGTAAGATTTTCAAAATTTCCTGATTCCCACTACTTCTTGACCTTATCAAGTTGGAAGGCCATCTCACACACTGAGTCCTGTCCACCAAACCTAGAGAGCTAAACTAGGAATTACCAAAGGGTGTGCTAAGGAAGCTCTCTGGACTTTGGCCAAAGAAATAGCTTTCCTTAGCTGAAGCAGAACAAGCGTAAATCACAGACATCTAAGGAAATCCCAAGAACCTCTCTGGGAATTGTCTATATAGTTGTGATTTACACTTCAGTTACTGTAACTGAAGAGAAGGATTTGTTGACTTTAACTGGGTGCAGGAGGAAATGTTTGTAAAATACTAAAACTTATAGACTGCATAACAAGAGTGAAAATGTACACAGGAATTCTAAAAGACAGATAAAGAATTTGTTGTGTGCGGTTTAAAAAGTTGGGCAAGCTTCTTTTCCATGATGATAGTTAGCAAAATGTGGCATTGATTATACTATTTCCTGTTTTCCAGCATTTCATGGCAGCACACATTTGCCTCACAACAGAACTCAAGAAGGCAAGCCCCGATGTGCTAATCCTACTCTTCAATGTACAAATCAGATGTATAGCTTAGATACAGGGCTTCTTCTGATATGGATCAGAGCTATCTGATTTCTGCATTCTTGAAATACGCACTCTTCTTTGAACATCTGTGGCTATGCACGAATGCATGCCCAATCCTACCTTCCCACAGGTTTTAAAGCAATGGTAGATAAAGCCCGTGCAGATGTGGAGTTCAAATGGTAAGAGAGATTGGACTGAAGGAGCAGGAGCGAACAAACAAATCTGCTTTCTGTCTTCTCCAGAAGATTATTAGCAATGGTCCTTTGCCTTTCCAAAATGCACAGAACATAGCAATGCCATGCTTATGTGGAATACACATGGAAATTCATTATTCTCCTTACAAGCTTTCAGAAGCTATAAGGATTAAAACTAGCAGTGTTCCAGTTTGTGTGGAGTTGCCTTTTGTGGAGAGCCACTGAACTGAAGGTTCTGGCATCTGTCCACATGCTCTGCACTCACTTTGCCCATCCAGACTAGCCTTTTGATCTTCCTGGATGGGAAGGTATATAAAGAGCACTTCCCACATCTGTAGTCCCTTGTGATGCTAAGACCCTTTTGGTACATCTATACCACCTGCTCTTGAATGATTCAACTGTGTCTGTAACTCACTTGAAACTTCAGCTTGCAGCAGCTTATCAGACAAAAACTGGGGCTGCCCTTGAAAATGGTCCAGAAGCTTCAATTTGTACAAAATAGATTTGTCAGATTGCTAACAAGGACTGGTAAAGGTAAACATATAACACCGGTCCTTTATCAGTTGCATTGGCTGCCAATTGAAAGCTGGCCTGCTTTACGGTGCTCATTTTAAAGCATAAAGTCCTAATTGGTTTAGGACCTGAATATCTAAGGGAACAGCTCTATCCATGCACACCTACCCATACCCTAAGGTCTTCCTTGGAGGTCCTGCTTCGAGAACCTCCCTTAAAAGATGCTAGGAAGGTGGCTGCCTTGTGTGAGGTATCAGTTCCCCAGAGATGTGTGCCAGGCACCTTCCTTGTATGCATTTCAGTGCCAAACAAAGACTTTTTTATTTGCAGGGTAGTTTAACTGTTGACAGTTTTAATTCAAATCTTTAATTCTAACTTTAAGCTGGTATTTTATGATTTTTAAAAACTGTAATTGGTATCTTAAATATAAGGTGTGTCTGAACTGGCCAGTCTATGAAGTCAACATGATTGGTGTCCCTGCTGATGGAATTGATGGTTTTATTTATTGAATTTGTTTATAATGATTATGGATTTTTATGTTTTGTTTTACTGCATTTTAATTGCTGTAAACTGTCCAGAGAGCTATGTGGCTATTGCAATGATTTATAAAGGCTTGAAATAAATACATAGAAATAAAGAAAACTTAAAGTCTGCTTGTACTTTTTATCATGCATTGATGACTGGAGCCATCTGGCCCATTTCATCTGAACTTAAAACACCTGGGAATCAGGGTAATCAAACTGAACATTAGCTTTCTGAAAAAAAGAAATATCTTTGATTCAACAATTCTTGTAAAACTGTCTGCAGATAGAAGGAAATTCCTTCTCTCCCACCCCAATGAGAAACAGTCACGCAGCATAACTTCACATATGTGAAGAAAGGGGAAGAATCTCCATTAAATATGGTCATATGGAAAGGGCAAGATGGTGCAAGGTGAATTACTTTTGCAACGAATGCAAATCATAACCAGGACAACCTGTGGTGCAGACCTACTGAGCTTAAAGACTTATTAACTACTATAATAATATAACAGGAATTCAGGGTTAAAAATAGGGAAAAATTGAGCTGTGGTTTATGTGAGGAATGATACAAAGTAGCTGTATGCCTGATCAAGCTTGACAACCTGCCAGAAAACCACAAGATAAATATAAAAGGGGTAACATAAATATGTGTGCTGTCTCAGGACCAAAGTGTTTTTGGAAAGAAATCAAGAAGAGTATTTTGATAAACTTTTGTTTCAAGCAAGTCTTTTATTTTAACTGTAATGTTTCTATCAGTCCTTTCCAAGTGCCTCAGACACTAGGAAGAACTCTTTTCTAGTCACTGCAATGGTGATTAAGGAAACTGGGTGAGAGTTTAGGAGTGGGAGAGAAAAGTTGATATGTTGTGTTTACATTGTTCAGTTGTGCACATTTCCAACAATTTAGGACTGACACTTTCACAACTGAGAGGATTGCAGCCTCACCATTACAATTCTGTCTCTCTGAGAAATTAACACCATGTAAATTGTGCAATTTGCTAGATCAAAAGCATTTTGGTTTTAATTTTGAAAGCAGGGATGCTGCTAGTTATTTTTGTTTTGTGTGAAATTAGAATTAATATCCCATGCTATTGTTCATATCTGCCACTTCTTTTGCATTAGAAAGGAGTTCAGATGTTACCACATTTATGACTAAGCACCAGAAGCTATCAAATAACTACTATAATTATGTCCAGAAGGTCAAACGCTTGAACAATTGATTTGAAAAATCTTTTCTTAATTACATCCTGCTAATAGACAGTGTAGTTGAGTATACAAGGGATTTAATACTCAGGTATAAAACTGTTAAGAAATTAATGCATAAGATATAATAAAATTTGGAAAAAATTAAATATGGGTAGCGTTTTGGAGCTGTCCACATCCAGTTGGACCATGCCTACGAAAGATGTCAATTGTGTGAATTGTAGCTGCAACTCAAGAGTGGCTTCTTTATTTATTTAATGTTTATGGTTTATTATTTTTTAAATTCACATGTGAGTATAAAAGCAGAAAACAAACATGGGTCAGAGATAGAGACAATGAAAAATACATTTCAATGAAATTTTAACCAAAACATAACATGGAAGTATCGTTTTTACCTTTACTCTCTCTACACATTAAATATGTTACTTGCAGAAGCCTTATACAACTTGCAGAAGCCTTATACAATAATCCATAAAAACCAGAAAAATATTTAAGAACTATTAACATTTTTTCTTACTTGTAGCCAAGTTGTCGACATACCACAGCTGCATCCTTATCAGACCATCCATCATCACAAATTGTCCCCCACTGGCCATTGATAAAGATCTCCACTCGGCCCTCTTTCTTATTCTCACCATCCATCAATCTGATAGGAGGCCCTGGGAATGAATTACAGTTGTTAACCCACAGCAATAGCAGCAAGAGCTAATGCCCTGGCTGGCTTTCATGACATTAAAGTTAAAAGTTGTCATCTGGGACTCAAGTTCCACAAGCATTCCCATTTATATGGCACTGATGATGGTATTCAGTTCTTCTCACCTGTTTCTGTATATCTATACTATAAAGTAAAATACTCTTTTCCTTCTAGAATCCCATGGAAAATCTCTCCTTTCTGCCCACTTATTCCAGACTGGTTCTTAGATCTAGGAAAGGAACATAGGATTTTCCAATGGAAAAAAATAATTTCAGAGTCTGTGAAGAAGATTTAGGAATCAGAAATAGTTTTTGCATGAATCTTTGCTTCATCACGACACATGATCACAATCTATTGTGCACAGCTAAGCAACTAAGAATGCAATTTTATGCATGTTTAGGCAGAAAAGGGTCCTACAACTCTCAGCATTCCCTAGCCAGCCATAGGAATTGTAGGATTTTTTTCTTTATAAACATGCACAAAATTAAGCATCAAGTTTACAGACAACAAACAGCAGAATCTTTCACATAAAGTATCTGTTGCCAATGTATCATTTCAGATTACAGGTAAAAATCACAAGTTTGTTCTGTATCATTCATGCACAAAACTTGGATGTCAGGCAGAAGTTTGGCTAGAAATTTCTGTATTAATTTTTTAGCACTGCATGTGCAGAGAGTTCTATTTTCATAGGGGTGGGCATTCAAATATGCAAATATTACCTACAATCTAAATGGCAGAGCCTGGAAAATGATGCGCCCCATGATTACTCTATCCAAGCATCTCCAAATCCCATTATTCAATGTAGTTCTTTGTTTTGTACTTTCATATATATGTCTGCAAGCTCCTCTGTTTGAAGCTTTTCAAGAGTGCTCCTAAACCTTTCCTGAGTGAAAAGAATTGAAAACTAGGACTGGCTTGATTACAATCTTATCTTCTCTCAGGAATGGTATGGCAGACTGCCAGTTCCCAAAGGTCTTTACAGCCAAAGGCTGAGCATCATTATACTATGATCTCATAAACACAATCAAGAGATTTTCTTCTAACCTTACATTTCCTCAAATTTTTAGCTCATCCTTTGCTGTTAGGGATGTATTATTTTTTACAAATACCTTCAGTTTTTTTTCTAACAAATGGGAGAGAAACTAGCAACTGTTCTACATATCAAAATGATATGTACAGTAAGCCATGACATTACTCTCATAATGTATGTTCCTAGAAACAATTATCTACACTTTACAGCACAATCTCATACATATCTGTTCACAAGTAAGTCCTGCTGAGTTCAGCGGGACTTACTCCCAGCTAACTGGAACAACTCCTCTTATCCTTGACTGGCTTGAAATGATGAGGCCAATAACATCCAGTTTACCTACTCCCAGGGTACATGATTCTGCCTTTAGTCCACAGAGGCTGAGTACACCCAGAATGTTGTGAGCTCCTGTCACTTCCTTACACACCTAATGTAAAACTCAAACTACATTCACATGTCATTTAGCCACAGTGCAGTGTATGTATTCTATCCTGTGAACTGGCCATAGGGTGAAGTGGTCAGGCTAATAGCTTCAATATAAGAAGAGAGACATAAGACATCCCTAATACGCTAAGGTCACATTCCTACTGCTTGCTCTGTGAGTGGAAGAGGCAACCTGAGTAGAGGCAACCTTCACCTCCTCACCCTCCTGCCCTGCAGATTTTATTAGACAGGGATTTTGGCATGTGAGGGTAAGAGACTAAAGAAGGCACTGGATAAACTGTACCCCCACCTTTTTGGTCTCCTCTTCCTTCCCACCAGAATGCTCCTTTTCCTCCTCTGAGATCACATTTAGCACAATTCTTTCTGCATCGACTGCAAAGGAATGGAGGAGGAAGGTTGGATCTCTGACCAGCTTCTGAGGTCAGATCACTGCCTCCAGCCTCAGAAGGAGGAACCTGTAAAATCACACAGTTCCTGGGATGTTCACCCAGGGACCGGACCGCAAAATTGCTCTCTAAAATGGCAACATAAATTGGCACTCTTTAGGTAGCAACCCTGCAGATGTTAAATTCCACCAATAAAAGAAATGTCTGGCATTTTACTAGAAGGCAAAATCTTGAACACATGGACAAAAGCATCTTAATCTAATTCAGAAAAGTAATTCTTATGCTTTTAGAAATATTTCCAGAAATTCAGCCTGATTTTTATATTTGGCACATTTCTCACAACTACTACTCTCAGAAATCTTTCTTAAATTTCAGAAATACTAAGCTATCCACTGAGAGTCAGTTCAGTTTAAAATATTACAGTAGATAGCAATGGATTACGTCTCCAGTTACGTCAGTCTTCATTTCTGCAACTATCATTTACGCCCCGAGGTTTCGGCAAGGGGCGGCATAGAAATGTAATAATAATAATAATAATTTAATTCAGTTGCACGTTTATAGAAGCCTTCCCTATAAGGATGTATAGCATCAGTGCTTAGGCCTAAATTTTCTTCCAGTTGTTATCACCATTAAAAACTCTTATTTTGCAAGAATACAGTTTCAGTGTAGATTCTTCTCATATTACCTGGGTAGCAATACAGGATATTAGCCATAAAAATATATAGATTTTATTGTCGGCCAACTTGTTACCACTTGGAGGATTTGTTCTGAACTGTGAAATTAATTCATCTCTCAGGTACCCAGAGTGAGTTTTGCCATATGGATGTATTTAACCATACCAGATCTTTTCTGCTCAGGTTAGGTTCCATTGCATTATGAGCACAGATGTTTTGTGTCCATATGAATAGGCATCATAATGTAAGTTCCTGTTATTTTTTATTTGAAATTTCCCATTCCTAGGAGATACACTTTGTCTCACCCACACAGAATTCTGTTTACATTATACTGCTGGGAAACATTATACCTTTGGGAAACCAAGATGTGTAAAAGGATAGCAATGAAAAGGGGTGGTGGGGAAGAATGGAAATAGAAATGCACAAATCGATTTAGCAAAAAAATGCATAATTGCAAGTTGGAATGAAATTCTATAATATAAATTTTTCAAGCTCACAATACATTTTGACAGGGAAAATGATTTGTTTAACTGTATGCCTCAAGTTACACTGTTGGTGAGGTATGAAGAGCTGTTTAACAGAGCTCCCTGTGAGGCTGGAAAATTGGATGCAGTCCTTCATTAAGATATAAACTAAGCTGCCTAACTTTCATTCCTGCATAGTCTTATTTCTCAGTGAAATGCTACTATCTGACTTTCTAACTCAAAGATGAAACTTATTTCTTTTGTGTTTAGGAGTAGGAATGAAAAATGAAGTCCATTCTTTCTATTCAGAATTTTTAGATACCTCCAGCCCCGCAAATCCCCCCTTATCATCAGTTGCTTGAAAAATGCCCTCAGTTTCAGAAGACATTTGCCACATGGCAGGGTGATGTGCAAGAATAAGACAGTTTTTGGATCTAGGCTTGATGACTTACCCAGCAAGACTCTGTGGCTGTCGTTGTCTTGATAGCAACTTAGGCTGATATCCTCCTGGTGGCTGCAGTCATGCTTTCCCCACTCCCTCTTTGGACACTGGGAGATAACAGCTTCCCTTCCAGAACAGCTGACATCATCCAGCCAGATGGGTCCCGTATTTTCTTCTAGATAGCGTTCTGAGACACTTTTGCCATGCCTGTTTACACACAGGTTAGTGTGTGCATTGTAAACAAAGCATAGTTGGTAAACAAAAGAAAGAAAATAATATTTTTGTAACAAAAAGTTCCAGTTCATAGCAAATATATTATTCTGCAGTAGTCCTGGGTTCAGCTTCCATTAAAATCTTTTCTATTTTAGGCAAACATTGCTCAGGATCCACTACCTTTAAATAAAGCTTGCTGCTACAATTCATGAATTTTACCAAGGTTTCCTACTAAAATCCATGGATATTTTACCAAGGGCCTAATTCAGCACAGCAATGAACCACGTGCAGAATTCCACATTTCATACTCCAATGCTGAAGCCTTACAGAGATGTACTTCTATCAACTGCTGAAATACAAGCACTCCCTTTGCTTATTCCTTTTTTCTGGAAGATTCGCCTTTTTACCTAACAGTTATACACTAAGTGCTAAAGAATATTCTACACTGCATGTGTAGCATGTAGCTCCCAACCTTTTATTCAAGATCATAGGGCCCCAGTTCAGGTAGTTTGGTGGTAAACCAGCCCAGCCATCTTCTTTAAAGTCATCTTCTACTCCCAAATCCCTTACCATGGTTAACATTTTAACTAAACACAATGTTTTATTGTATTTCCATACACTTTTATTGGCTGTAACCTGCCCAGGGACCCATGTGGCTAATGGGGCAGTCTAAAAATCAAATAACGGATAAATAATAAATATTGAACATGGAAAGAGCCAGCCAGGGTTCCTGCTTAACACTGGATCTAAAACTTTGGAATCCACAGACCAGAAAGGAAAACGAGCGTTGGAAGAAGCACACAATCCTATAGACCAGGCCAGATTGCTTAAGATGGCAAAGTGATCATCGAACCAATCCTAATTATTTGCTTGTTTTCATTTTTGCATCTATTTGCTCTGCTGACAATTCAGACATTTCTCTGAACTGTTTTCAGGCAACATAGATTCCTGGATGTAAGACTGGACTACTTGGCATTATTATTGATGGGTTAAACACTCATTGAGTCATCGAAACATGGTGGCATGGTTTGTTGAAGCCTTCAATTAACTCATGGATTTTTCCTGGGATGACAGTCGTTTCCTCCTCCATCAAGTTTCCCAGGTTTGGACCATACAGCAAGCTGGTGTCTGCAGGTGCCATTCAAAAATAGTACCTGACATGACAGTAAATTAATCTATGGTGAACTCTCATGTCATGGAAACCAGTTTACTGTTAGGAAAATAATGACTGAATTAATGAAGTATATCATTTTCCCAATATAGAGAGAACTAAAAAACTAGATTATAATTTAAGCTTTTCATCTAAAGAGTAATGTCTAAATCAGGCCATCTTGTCCCACATGTATCCTGAAACTTGTTTCTAAGTAATGGGTGTTGTAGTTAAATGTGTTTCTTGAAAGACAGCATATCAAACTGGTCAGAGTTCAACCATAAATAAATGAAGCAGGTACCCATGAAATTCTGCACAATACAAGGAAACATTTTTCCAATTATCAGCATTGCTCTGGAAAGCAATTAGCAGTTAGACATAAATTGACCTTACTTAAAGCCCAGCTGCCGACAAACCACTTGTGTGTTCAGTTCGGTCCACCCGTCGTCACAGATGGTGCCCCACTGTCCTTTGTAAAGGACTTCCAAACGTCCCTCGTGGCTGCCTTTCCCACCTGCTAATCGGATCGCGCCATCTGTGACATTAAAAATAAGAGTCAGTCCTGCTTGACAGACAGGCAGTGGAGAAAAGCAACTGCATTATAAATGTTGTGCAATGTAAATTTATCTAGTTTTAAACGAAAGGAGATGAAAGCCTCAGTACCTGCACAGATCCTGTTTTCATTAGCCAGGAATTTAAACAAGTCTTAACCATTAGTCCAGAAATGCATTAGAGTTAACAAAATGTCAGTGCACTTGCTTTATTTGTAAATATGTTTGTCACAGAAATTTTATGTGATGATTATTACAGAAATGCAGAAGATAGTTCCCAGTTCCAGACACTATAACGGGAAAAAGTTATGGAGGACAAGAAAGACAAATAACTGAAACAAAACAGGTAATGGGCACAAGAGGCAATACGAAGGAGTATGGAGAAAAGTAAGGCCATGTGTAGAAGAAGCTGGTTTCAAAGGAAGGACCATTTTCTATTCCTGCATAACAATTGCAGCTGCAAAATAAGCAGGTTGCTTACCTGTAACTGATGTTCTTCGAGTGGCCATCTGTGCAGTCACACATATAGATGCTGCGCCTGCGCAGTGCCTAGGCCGGAAAGATTGAAAGCTAACGGTTTTGGCAGGAAAAACTCCGCTCCCCCTCCCCTCGGTAGTATATATAGAGCGGAGTGTCCGCCATTTTCTCCAGTCTTTGGAGACCGTATGTTTGCCATCTCATGGAAGAAGGTGGCATAACAACCTAGCATGTACCGACACATTCCCTTTCGGTATCAATGTTGCAAGTATGAGGTTCCGAAGCAGTATTATACGGTACCGAGAATGACACCACTCACCGACACTGAGCGGGGCCGGCGGGTGGGTTGTGTGACTGCACAGATGGCCACTCGAAGAACATCAGTTACAGGTAAGCAACCTGCTTTTCTTCGTCGTGGCCTCTGTGCATCACACATATGGGTGAATAGCAAGCTTACCAGAAACGGTGGCGGGAGGTGTCGCTATTGAAGAACGGCAGAAAGGACAGCCCTCCCGAATGAGCAGTCTCTTTTGGCAAGCACATCAAGATGATAGTGCTTTGTACAAGGCGTAGCCCAAGTTGCTGCCTTACAGACATCGTGGATCGGGACACCTGCAGCACGAACGCGGAGGAAGCTGAGACCGCTCTAGTGGAATGGCCCCTTGGAACAACAGGTAAGTCCAGGTTTGAGAGTTGGTACAGCAACGAAATGGTTTGAACGATCCATTTCGACAGCCTCTGAGACGAAACAGGCAATCCTTGGTCTCGCTCAGAATACTTTATTGGAACAGATTCCGTGAGCCAGGCAACTTCTAACATCTAAGGTGTGCAAGGACCTCTCGACCAAGTTTGACGGCGATGGGAAAAAAGCAGGCAATACAATGTCTTGGTTCAGGTGAAATGGAGTGACAACTTTAGGCAAAAAAGTAGGGTCCATCCTCAGGACCACCTTTTCCTTATGGAAGTTTAAATAAGGTGGATTGATTCGAAAAGCACAAAGTTCACTGGCTCTATGAGCTGAAGTAACTGCAACTAAAAAAGCCGTTTTCCATGAAACAAGGCGTAAATCGACAGTGGCTAACAGTTCGAACGGTGGTTTTGTAAGCGCCTGTAAGACAACCGAGAGACTCCATGTCGGCATAAATGGCCAAATAGACGGGTGGAGATTCTGCAGGCCTTTAAGAAATTTCCTAATAAGCGGCTGTGAAAACACTGACAGTCCTTGTACTACACCACGATAATGTGAAACTGCAGCTGCATAAACCTTAATTGAGGAGGGTTTGCAGTCCTGAGCAATGCAGGTGCAGCAAAAACTGAAGAATGTTCCCAACTGACACCGTAAGTGGGTTAAACGAGCTAGATTGCGCGAAGGATGAAAAACGATGCCGCTTCGTCGTGTAGGACTTTTGGGTGGACAATCTTAGTGCAGACTCGAGAATCCTTACAACCTCCGGATCCAAAGGATTCGGTCCCGACAATATTCCCGTTGGTACCGAGTCAGTGAGGGGATCAGAATGATCATGAGTTGAGGTACCTAGTGATCTAGTAGATCTCTGTTCCAAACGAGATCCCCTGAGTCAATGAATCCTCCACGCAGTGAGGTTCAATGACGACAGTTCCAGGTGACGGACAGTCCTGTTTTGTTGGGTTAGCAAATCTTGTGTGAGCGGAAGGTGAAGGAAATTGCCCTTCGAGATCCGAAGGAGAGTGGAGAACCATGCTTGACGAGGCCACCAAGGTGCTATGAGTATTCCCGTGGCATTGTCTTGCATGATCTTCGAGACGACTTTGGTCAGCAGAGGAATAGGTGGGAATGTGTAGAACCTGAGATATGTCCATGTAATCATAAGGGCATCTCCCATCAATCCTGGTCCTATTCCCGCCCTGGAACAGAACCTTTTGCACACCTTGTTTCTGTGGGTAGCAAAGAAATCTATGTCCGAATGTCCCCACAGTTGGAACAATTGGGTGCAAACTTGGTGGTTTAGTTCCCATTCGTGCGTGATCGACATATGTCTGCTCAAGGAGTCCGCCTCTTCGTTGTCGGTCCCGACCAGATGGACCGCCAAAAGGGTTATGCCTCTCAGGATACACCACTCCCAAAAGTCCATGGACAGGTGGGCCAGGGAGGTGGATTTTGTGCCGCCCTGTTTGTTGATATAGAATACTGCCACTATGCTGTCTGATGTGAGCTGTATCACTCGTTGGTGAAGAATGGTTTCGAAGGACCATAGCGCCTTGAAGATTGCTAACAGCTCTAGATAATTTATGTGGCTCAGTGATTCCTGACAGTTCCACATGCCTGGGGATCGAAGCCCTGTCCATACCGCACCCCACCCAACCAACGAAGTGTCGGTGTATAGAGTCCTCGTCAGGTAAGGGGTAATGAACGGGGTCCCACATTCAGATTGGGTGGAGATTCCCACCAAGTCAATGTCTGTAAAACTGTGTGGGGTACACAAAGAAGTTTGTTCGGTGAATCTCTTTGTGGACGAAAAGTTCTTGTTGAACCAGAGTTGAAGCGGACGAAACTTCAACCTGGCATGTGGGACAATGGCGACTGTGGCTGCCATGTGACCCAAAAGTCTTTGTATGGAAAGCGCTGTGACTACGCAGTCTTGTCGAATCTGAGGGATGCAGGCACAGAGGCTGTCTTGACGAGCCTGGGGGAGGAAAGCCCTTGCCACCATAGTTGGGCTCCGATAAAGTCTATCACCTGTGTAGGAACAAGGAATGATTTTTCACTGTTAATGCAAAGTCCAAGGTTGTCCAATAATGTACAAACAGCATGAACAGCTGACAGTAGGGTTTCACGGGTCTGTGACACTATAAGCCAGTCATCCAGGTAAGGGTAGACTTGGATGCCATGAAGTCGAAGATGAGCACAGACTGCAGCCAGACATTTCGTGAAGACCCTCAGAGCCGTGGCTAAGCCAAACGGAAGGACATTAAACTCGTAAATGTCAGTTCCGACGGTGAAACGCAGAAGATGCCTATGACTTCGGTGAATCGAAATATGGAAATAGGCATCCTTTAAGTCAAGGGAGGCGAACCAATCCTCTCTCCTCAGCAGTGGAAGAATATTTTGGAGGGTATAATTCGAAATTTCTTTGGTTTGATAAATTTGTTGATATTCTGGAGGTCCAAAATTGGACAAAGACCACCGTCTCATTTCAGGACTATAAAATATCTAGAGTAGAATCTGTGCAGTCCCTCTGAACTGGAAACCCGTTGAATCACTCCCTTATGAAGCAGTTGTCGCACTTCGCTCACTAACACCGGGGAGTGCGGTGTAAATCGAATCGGGCTTGACATAGGAACGGTATTGAATTCTATTCTGTATCCGAGCAGGATAACTGACAGGACCCACCGATCAGATGTAATGGACTTCCAAATGGGGAGTTGGCCTTGCAGCAGTTCCCCAAAAGGGAGGGGGGAAGGGTGAGTATGGAGGTGGAGGAGAGGTTCGCATGTCCCATCAGTGTTGACACTTCTCAGTATCGAAACGCCGACGATTTTGTGGAAAACGCTGATGAGGTTGTTGTCTTCTGTGTTGTGGCATAGACCCTACGCGCCAGGGTATCAATCTTGCACCCCTCCTTATCTCTGGGGGTGGTATGGCCTCTAGCTTCCCTGCCCTGAGATGATTCGACCACCACAGAGTTTGGCTTAGGGTGGTGAAGCAGAAAGGGGATGTTGCTCTCTCAGACCCGATACATGGACTTGTATCTTCTCACCGTAGGTTGAGTTTGAGAAGGCAAGTCCCATGGTTGCATCATTGCCTGCTGCAGAGTTGTAATAAGTGGCAAGACGATTGCTGGTGATTGCTCTCTCCGGGCAATGTCGTAGAACTTGTCGGTGCTCGGATCTGGCTGATGTTGCACCTCGATCTCGAGCGACCGAACAAGTCTAGACATAAGCTCCCCGAATGAAATGTGGGGTTCTTCAGGTGATGACGGACCTTGCGATGTAATCATGCCGTCTGGGGAGGTAGAGTCGGCATCCGAGTCTGAGTCGGGTCCAGAACAGTATGGTTCCAATGAGGAGGTCCCTGGAAAAGCAGGACACTCGGGCTCTACATGCTGGGAAGTAGACGGCAGATCCTCATGAACAGAAGGTGAAGAGTGATCCCGCGAGTGAGGATGAAATCCAAAGGAATGGTAGTCCTCCCAACCTCTCGGGTAGTCACAGTAGGGTCGGAACCATCCTTCTTCCCGCCTCTCATCCATTCGGGTCCGAGGTGGTGGTGATGGAGCTCGGTCCCTAGCTCTCGCCGTAGGCGTAGGAGTCGGGGACTGGGCCCTCGGAGGAGAATCCTGAATCTCCCCATCGGACATCGACTCACGATGCTGCTCTTCGGGCAGTGGAATAGGCATGCCCTGTTGAGGAGCAGATTGCATCCGGAGGAGTAACCTGCATCACCACCTGAAGCATCGGTACCGATGGCGTTGGTACCGAGGCTGCCGTCGGGATCGATGGGGCTGTCGAACCCGAATCCCGATGACTCTTCTTATGAGGCGGTTTTGCCACCTTATCTTTCTTCGCCTTTTTGTGAGCCGAAGATTGATCCAATCCCCCGTGCTTCCTCTTTTCCCGTGTTTATGAGGGGGGAACGAGGTAACTGAGCCCCTGGGGGGAAATTTCCACCACCGGCTGGTTGCGGCTGAGGCATAGGCAGCGTGGGTGAAGGGCGTTGCCCGGACATGCCCGCGGCAGAGGCTGGGCGTTGAACTGGCTCGGACGAGGTTGAGGCCTTGCGCTTAGCAGATGGAGCATGTGCTGGCCCGGGTTTTCCTGCAGGCTGATCGGATTGCATCAGCACTTGATCCCAAAGGAGTTTGTGCAGCCGGTTCTCCCTATTCTTTCAAGCTTGCTTAGTGAAAGCAAGGCAATGGCGGCATTTATCAGTCCTGTGCCCCTTGCTGAGGCAAAGGAGGCACAAGTCATGTGGGTCCGCAGGAGACATTTTGGACCCACATTTGCGGAAGGCCGCTCGCTGCGCCATCGCAGAAAAGGAAGAAATAGAATATAGAAAAGAGGGAAAAGTAATATATTTTGGGGTTTGGTTTTTTTTATTGGAACAAGTAAAGAGAAAAAGAAGATATAAACTGGAACGAGGAAATAATAACTTGGAATAAGAGTAATAAGATAAACAGTAAGTAATGAACAATACTGAGTCAAGCGAGAGACGAACAGGCACGAGGCACAGCGAATGGCGGCCGCAAAAGACTGGAGGAAATGGTGGACATTCCGCTCTATATATACTACTGAGGGGAGGGGGAGCGGAGTTTTTCCCGCCAAAACCGTTAGCTTTCAATCTTTCCGGCCTAGGCACTGTGCAGGCGCAGCACCCATATGTGTGATGCACAGAGGCCACGACGAAGAACCATTCTTACATGTAATACTGTTGCACCTCTTGGTTTCTTTTTAAATTACTTTTACAAAATGTTCTGTCTTAATGCCTAGAAACTCTGCTACGTGGGATCCTCTAGGATTGATCATAGTTTAGACTAAGCTATTCTATTACAGTAAGTCTAGAATAAACTACTCAATTATAGTAAGAATTTTTACTTTCCAGCTGTTAGAAAATACAGAATATTGGTAAAATGCTACATCTGGGAAGAACACAATACTATTAGGATATTAGGCACAACATGCATGTGCTGTTATGTTTGGGCGAAGGACTTTTCTCTCTCTGAGAGAGAAGAGCATGTTGTTTATAAGATATGTGGAATTCCATATGGTTCAACATACCCACTTACTAGTCTCTATCTCAGCTCCACCAAATATACCCACCTATACAAGGTATTGTATAGATTAGTTGACAACAAATATATTTACATACTGCAGGAAATCAAGAGCAAATCCAGTTTTGTCATGTGTAAGCAGAAATTTGCAATCACATGTATATACTATGCTTTTGCACGTACATATAAAGAATTCCATGCGCACAAATTGAAAACCAATGCATGAGGAGCCCTCAGTCCAAACTCTTATCTCTTATTTTAGAATTCAGAAAACTTTATTGGCATTTGGTGAACATTACAAAATAATCATGGATATATTACTGTTCCTAGAAACACTACAATTGTACCTTTAGAAGTTCAGGATCATAACTGCTCATAAATAATGTCCTTCTGAAATTATGCCCACTGTATATATTTTGCTCTATCATGCACTGCTTGTCATGACTAAGAAAGGTAGGATGTAGTCCATTAAAATATGTTAAGCCACATATGACATACATATGAATAACTCTCCTCCCACATAATAAGGGACTTCTCCTACCATCTTGCCACCACATTACAAAAGACTATCACAACCTATCTTCATAAATGGTATCAGTTGTACTGTTAACCCTTAGATAATCAAAGTCCTTTACAACCTACCTGCTAGAGGTGTGCAGGAAACTCCTGCATCTTCTTTGTGGCCACAGTTGTGTTCCTGCCAGGAGCTCTTTAGGCACTGTTCTATCGACAGCTCATTTCCTGTACAACGCATTTCATCCAGTAGCACAGGACCTGAGCCTTCTCCAAAATACGCCTGGCTCCATGCCTTGGCAATTCCCCTATTCAAACAAAACAAAGCATACAGCTTTACTTTATTAGAGTCTCTAATTTTACTGCTGAAATTATTTGCATGGCTTTGCACAAATGCTACAGTACAAGCAATACGGTACTGTAGGATTCAAGTAGGTATACAAAATTATTACCTTTGATGCATTTTTGTTAAGAGGAGCCCTTGACAGATTTTGTTTCACCCACTAAGTGTATACATTTTCATCAGGAAATCAGAATAGATCAGCTCGTTCAAAGATTCTGGCCTTAATTTAGGTATTCGTACAGATAAGAAGTCAGAAATTAAATTAAAAGTTGAGCTCTATTTCAGTTCTAAAGAAAAGAGCTGAAATAAAAGAGGTAATAGAGACAAGGACCACTGCTTACACCCTTATTTCTGTATAAGGGTGTTATATATTTGAGAGGCAGAAATAAGGAGTTGGAGTGGATGAACTGATTCTCCGCTTCATTTTGTCCCTGCCTACCCTGCAGGAAGCCCGGGGCACTCCTCTTTCTTTCTCGGCGGCCATCATTACATCTTGTGCAAGGAATTCCATGGTTTTCATATGTGCCATGTGAAGAAATGCTTCCTTTTATTTGTCCTCAGTCTCCCACCAATCATCTTTATGGCAGAACCCTGAATCATAGCATTAGTGTAGTATTATGAGGGACAAAAATGTCTCCTTATTCACTTTCTCCACACTATGCATAATTTTGTACTCCTCTATCATGTCTTCCATCACTTGCATCTTCTTCAAGCTAAACTGTCCCAGACGTTGTAACTTTCCCTCATAGAGGAGGTCTCCAGATCCTTGATCATTGAGGTTTAGGCTAGATTATCTTCAGATTCCCTACCTCAAGTCCCAGAATTCTATGAGTCTGGATACTGCACTCAATATCTGAGACCTTCCTCTCAGAATCATCTCAGAGAAGGGCTTGGTGGGTAGCAACAAGGAAAAGGGCCTTCTCTGTGACAGTCCCCAATTATGGAAAAATTTCCCTACCAAGGCATACCTGGCACCAACAATCCAGCACTGGGTTCAAACTCCCTCTATGTTGTGGCATTTAACAGCTCTAAATAGCACATAAGTCAGGTATTTTAACAGGCCCAGTTATACTTGAGCTGTGTCCAAGTTGTTCAAATCAATTACAATTTTAATTTTTAAAATCTTTGTATTGAATTTTTATGCTCTTTTTATGATCTTTTTACTGTCCTTTTTATTTTATACTTATTTTATTGTATTTTATTTGTTTTCTGCTGCTTGCAAGCTCTGGGTATTGAGCAGTACAGAAATAAAATAATTAAAAATAATATGTGCTCTATTGAGACTATGTCTTTAAATATACGTGCTCTGTTGTGGCTAAGCATAGAAGCCAGAAATTCAAATTATATAATGGGCTTCTTTTTTATTTTAGCATGCACAAAGTATGCAATTAGATGAGCCATATTCTTTCCTTGTCACTGGAAAACTAATCCTGGTAGGTTTTATTGCAGTGTGATGCCAAATGAAGCTACGAGAGGGCAGGAAGGTTATTTCCAAGAAGCTTTTATTTTACAGTTTGCAGAACATTTCCAGCTAGATTAACCAAAATGACAGATGTAGCTCAGCTTCTCTCCCCAAGCCTATTCCAACCCCAGCCGCTATACCTATATATTTTCCGTCATGGTAAATTTCAGTTCAGGCATAATGAGCCTACCTGCTAAGGCATCTTGCTCTTTTTAAGCCCACCAGTCTATAGGCTCATATAAAACCATCTGGTGGGGACTATTTAACTATCATTTCATAAACACAAGGCACAGAAGCCAGACGGTCAACCTCTCAAGTTAAAAAAACAACAACATTACAAGCAGGATTATAGGGCAAATGTCATTTCGCTTTAGTGCAGTGAGCGCCTTCCAAGCTAGCGCCTTCCAGATGCACAGAAGAACATCATTTTCATCCATATCACACTTGGCATTTTCTTTAATCCTTTTGATCCATTACTAGCATCCCAGTCTGAAGGCAGACTGGACCAAAATGTAGTAACTGCATACATCATTCTAATATTAATGTGTTAATTTGTTTGCTTTTCAACTACCTTATTAACATTTATACTAACCTTTGGTCTTGCAAAGGTCACTTTTTCATAACAAAACAATGTTTAAGAATCAAATCTTGTGAAATCTACCACATACCTATTCAGCAAAGCTAAAGGCCTTCCTCTTGTCTGCATTAAACTTATTCATCCTCATTAGGAACATTACCAGCTCTTAATGTCCACTACTATGTATTCATCAAGCACACTGATGAAATCTTACCTCAAATCCTCAAAAGGTGCCAGAGAGGGGGAAAGAGGCATACAACTTCCAGCGTTCCCCAAAGAACTTATTTTCTCTTTCAGTTGTGGATGGTAACCAGCAGGTTTAGGAAGCCTGTGCTGTCCTAAACAATGACTTCCACAGTGTCAAGGACCTTTGGGCACCTTCACAGCAGGTAGGAGTGGTGCTACTGCAACTCAGTGCCACCTCTCCTGATAGTGGTCAGTCAGGCAAGAAGCATATCATGGTCAGAGGTACTGAAAAATCTTGAGAGATCCAAAAGAGTCTGGAGAATCACATTTCCCCTACTTATCAGCAAAAAGTCATGAATCAGGGAAGCCAAGGTTGTTTCACTTGGTTCCTTGGTTGTTTCCAAGGAACCTGGAAGAATGCTTGCTCACATATCAGCCTGCCTCTGTAGTATGTTTATATCATGAAGTTCTTCTCTGCCATACAAAGTAAGGCAGGTGTTGACCAGAGATGGCCTTTTCAATGATGGCACCTTTTCTGTAGAACTGTTCTTTCCAGGGAGGTCTGCCTGACAATAACAATTACAATTTTCCCAATGATGCTTCTACTCTATTAGAAGTTAATGTATCATTGAACGCATTTTATTTATTTTGATTTTTGTATTTTCTCTTATTTTCTAAATTGCCTGGAAAGCTTACTGAAATATGGTGGTGTTATTTCTTCTCACATAAGTAAATACATAATACATATATACAAAAGGATGAAAAGACTGGTTTGTAGTTCCCTATACTGGAAAAACCTAAGTAGAATTTTTCTAATAAAGTACTTACTTCTGTATCTTTGAAAAAGGATGGGATTGCTGCATCCCTTAGACAAACACTGATCCTCACCCAGATGGTGCTAGCAAATCTCTGCAGCCTAGATTTAATCAGCCAAGTTGGACAGAGATCAAGTAAAAGAGAAAACCTCTCTAAGAACTCTGTCCAGATCCTCAGCTGACAAAATCTCTGGTAACTCTTTTAGGAAAAAGAGACCAGCAATGGATACACTGATTTTTGCCTGTAGCCAATGTAATGTGCAGAGCACAACTCCTCTGTTTTTTGTATTTTTATCCATCTTTATCTATCTCACAAATAAGTCAAGATGTCCCTTGGTAGTATATAAAGTCTACATGGTGCCACTTCATGGGCTATTTATTGCTCTTTGCAGTTCTGCTGCCTGTGCATATGGTAACTATGACACTCAGTCACATCTTCTGTGGAGAAAGAAGGGAAGAGAGAAGGCAAACACAACCAGAGCTATGCTTTTCACCCAAATGCTGCTCAAGGCGGCCAGTGACCTGCCTCTGTTAAAGTGGTGCAACTGGTTCAGTGGTCAGCACCACCAGCCTCCCTTTAACATGCAAAGCATCCATTTGGATTTGCCTGACCATCGCTGCTCATTCGTGGTCCACAACCAAATAAAAAATATCTGCAGGGGAAACAAACCCAAGGCCAAGCTGCCTGCAGACCACCTCAGCGTCAGCGTCATCCCATTGGTCGTCACAGATCGTGCCCCACTGACCAGCATGGTAAACCTCTACTCTTCCTTCACGAGGACTGCTCCCATCAACCAGCCGGACCGGGATAAAATCAGAGGCTGAAGAGAAAACACATTGTGGGAAAAAATGAAGCTTTCATTTTCCAGTTCCTGGAGATCAATTGCTATCAAAGGAGCTTCAGGTTAGAAATTTCAATAGCAGAAAAGAAACCAAGTACTCCACGTGTCATAAGTTTGATAGATCACCAGCAATAACCAAGAGCACTGTTCTTCCCTTATTGCTGAATAAAATTACAAGCACATCATTTCAAGCTGTGGCCATCTGGATGCCTCTGGGAAGCATTCCCAACATTGGTTATCACTGAACCAGGCCTAGGTTCAGCTTTTCCCGGAGCTGTGTCCAATTACTGATACGGGATTTCCTCCATGAGTATGACTGATGATAAAGAGGCTGTAGAGGAAGCATGGGGAAATCAGCACTGACAATATAGGGAATATGTCATGGAGCCCAAGCATTAAGCAGAGGCTTATATACCTATACATCTGAGGTGCAGACATTCTTTACCCAGGATATCATATTGCTGGAAAAGGGACAGAAAAGAGCAACCCAACTGATTAAGGGGTTAAAGCAGCTTCACTGTGAAAACACATTTGGGTAGTCTTTGCTTCCAAAAAGGTTGACTAAATCATAGAATCATAGAATAGTAGAACTGGAAAGGGCCATGAAGGCCATTGGATCCAACGCCCTGCTGTTGCAGGATACCAATTTATACCATCTCACTCATGAAGGCTAGGGTTTGTAAAACTATGCATGCTATTGAGAATATTGCTATCCATTCTTTCACAATACAAGAACCCCTCATAAAGCAGGTATGTCTTCAAAACAATGCATAATGAACTGTTGGTGATGGACACAAGCTTAAATGGCTTCAAAATATGCAGCTTTAAATGTAATAATGGACCATTATGTAGTAATGTAGTAACAGATTACATTAATTATGATGTAATAAGAATGATGTAGTAATGTATTATTGTTCAACTACAGTACAGTTGGCTGAATACATCACACAATGACCCCTCAAGATCATCTTCAATGCACCTTTTGTGACTCCCTAGCCAGAACTGTCCCCACCTCAGCATTTTAATATCTACTAGCCACCGGGGTAGTGGAAGACAGAGTTATATTGTGGATGAGATGGAGAACTGAAGATTGGAGAAGCATAAGGCCATTGTGATTTCTGCTCTGCTTAATGAAGATTACAGATTAACCAAGGCTCTGCCAGTGGACCTTCTATAATCTTGGACCATGATCGTTCTCAACAGTCCTGTGCATCACATGCTTTAATACATTTGACTAGTCTAGTTTCAGCTTTCACAACAACGTCATGTTCCTCCTGCTTCTGACAGCCAAATTTCACTGCTGAGGCCTCGGCGGGAGACAACGCAGCAGGAAGGAGCAGTTGCGTTCCCTATGCCCACCTGGTCATGCCAGGATTCAGATTCAGCTAAAAGCCCTTCTACTAGCAATGGTAACGGCTGAAAAGAAGTAGCAAGCCTTCCATTGTGTGAAAGACCTGCTGAATATTGCAACTAATAATCCAGTACCCAAATTTGCTTTTCCCCTCCTCCCTCCCATTTTCCTTTCCTTTCGTGTTATGTCTTTTTGACTGTAACTCTGTGAGCACGGACTGTCTTATTTCTTATCATTGCAAGCTGTTTTGGGAGCCTTTTTGAGTACAGGTGGGGTAGAAATATTATAAACATAAAAGTCTGAAATCAGTGATTTGCAGTTTCCTTGCTATCCTAATCTACAACTGTGCACAGCCTCACCCGGAACATTGCAATGGTTGTAGTGACTGGAAGAAGGTGACTGACTTGTGAAAATAATATCTGGCTGCATGTGCATGCAGCCTTTTCCCCACTTGCTTCTCCATGTGACAATAGGCTTGGCTGTAATCAAGGAAATGCCAGGATTGCTCATAGACAGAGAAAAGTGGCTGCATGAACCAACCTGCACACATCTAAGCATACCTCATTCTAGCACTCCTCAAATGACCTTTTAAATCCACCTAGCTTATGAGCTCTCCCAGCGAGAATAAAGAAGACTTTGTGATGCATACTGCACCATTAATCAGGGGAAAGCACACATTTCTCCATGTGTGCTTCTGCACAGAAATATAGTGGAAGCTGCAACACGAAGCAAAGCCTTAAAATCTTTGCATCACTGTGTATTTCCCACGCAGAAATGGAATTAAGCATATGAGCACTTCTTCTACAAGAGTTCTAGCAGGGAAGCCCTCAAAGAAACAGGATGTTTTAAGTATCATCCCTCTTTTGGTGCACCAAAGGGAGTTCACTTGAGGAGGACAAGGTAACAGATAGCAGTTTTTCAGCAGGTGACAAATCCATACCAGCAAGTACTTTAGGCCTAGACAATACACACGCACACACTCCATAGCATGCCTTATTTAGCAGGTATTGTTCTCAAAGGGTGAGGAATACCTTCCTAAGGAGGTGCAGCCAGCTGCTCAAGGAGATATGACCTCATCCTGCAAGCAGTTATGTGAGCCTCATAAGTATTCTGCCTTTTATTGGATAATACTGCAGAGTACCTTGCAAACCCATATTTCTCTCAGCTTTGTAGCTTGCTTCTTATTTGAGCTACTTCCCTCTAGGCCAAAAAAGACAATGAATTGGGCTGGTCGGATTAACCAGTTTTTGTTTTGATTTAGCAATCCCTTGGAGAGATACAACAATAATAATGAGGCTCATTACAGTTCAGAAGTTTTATCACACAACCATCACAGGGAGCAGATTCCAATGCAGAGCACCACTGATGTAACTGATGTTGCAGCATACATGGTCTCTGACACAATGCCAAGGGTGCTTGCTGATCGGATGGGTTTTCCAAAGAAACTTGCCATGCCAGGAAGCATTAATGGCATTGTGTCGGTAGTCATTTACACTAGAGCACTGCAATTTATTTTAGCAGTAATGCTGCACTGGATACTGCCTCATCTTGGCTTAGTGGAGCACCTTTCCCCTAAGACACCATGATAAATGTTTGGCATAGACCCACAGCCAAGCAAATAGGCTGGTGGGCAATCAAACTCACTGATAATCCTTGGCAGGCCAGTGCGCAAGGGGGAGAGACATCTTTTGATCTACAGTGCTAATCCCTGAAAGCAGAACCTTCTGCATGTGAATCTTCAAAAGTTCTATTGCCAAGGAAATCCAGGTGGTTCAGATGGTATTGAGGACTGAAATAAGCACAGCTGCACAAAAAATGCATTTAAAGCAAGCTCGGGAAGGGGGAATTTGAGTAGACCAAGTCAGAATGAAGCCATGGGACCCAAACATTCCTTTGCAGGCATATTGAAAGGTGAGTCATAGGCGGTTTGTGAGTTCCGCATTCCACACTTACACAACCCTTTTCTCCTATAAAGTACTTCCTATATAACTGGAGGAAATCACAATTTAAATCTACAGATCTGCCATCCAGTTAGGGTATGTTTCCACTCCTGGATATTTTTTAATCCCATAAACTTCCACTACCTAATTTGTTTTTATGTCACTGAAATGTATGAATAACTTAAAGCTGTTTACGTTGATGCTAATTTCAATAAGGCAACAAAAAGTAAGTGGAGGTGAATAATGACATTATTATTATGTATACCCTCAGCCCCAAACAATGCTTAACAAGCTTATTTTATATTGAATCATTCAGGAAGACAGCTAAGTTGTCAACATGATGACACATTGAATACTGAATGCATATTTGTGTTTTACCATGGGCAAAGCTACATGCGACAGCAGCTGCCATATTTTGAGGACACATTCCACCCTGCCAGATGTTTTTTTCACACAGCAGTATGTTTTCTTCATCGCCATGGCAATGTACATCACTCCAGTAAACAGGGATAAGGCCCAGTGAAGAAAGTGGGGTTTGCTTTGCTGTGCCTCTCTCTCTGTTGGGAATAACAACAAACAAACGATTAGGAAATTGAGGCATCGAGACATTCCTTGTTTCCATTCCAAACTCAGAATTGCATGCTTCACCACAACTGGAGCTCTTCTGCTCCAGAAGTGGGCCCCTAAAAGGCAGGAAGGCGTGATGTGGCTTTGGGTAGGCAACAGAACCCAGAAGCACGTGTGCGGACTGCGACAAAGGTGTTTTAAGCATCCTTGCTGAGTTCCCAGACAGCTTCCAAAACTTCCCAGTGCATAAAATGAGACAGGGGATAGCACTGCAAGCAGAGACATAAACAACTTTTTTCAGTGACCTTACCAATTAGTGATGTGCATGCCAGTTCCCCAGACTGTTTTCTTTTAATTGCAGAAGAGTTTTAAAAACAGTTCAGGAATTTACCGCAGTAGCTGCTGGTATGAAGGCATGCTGAAATACTCTTGGTGCATGGTAAAACATCTGCACACTGTGCCTGCACACCTGTGCAACATGCCTTAGGAATTCCAGAAGCCTCAGGTAGGCTTCATAAAGAGAAGCACTGTATAGGTTTGTAGGATTCTAATGAACAGTATCTCTGTTCTTAGCTTTCTGCATGCAGATCTTCCACCTTCAGTAATGGTTGCGGACTAAAGTACATGGGAAGAAAAAAAACAGCACTGAGATCCTAGATGCCATGCGTGTCTCCCTTTCTTATATGGAAATCACTTACTGGTTTTAAAAATGATCTATTATTCAGGTTAAAATTAAAGTGAACTTGCTGGTAATCTCTATGGCTCACATGTTGAGCAATGTGGAAGTAAACGTATTTTTAATATGAAAACCAGATAAGGGCATTGCATATAACACACAGCCATAAAACCATAAGTAAAATTGCAACCTCCAGATGGGCACAACTTTGATCTCATCTAATCCACATATTTATATAAATTGGTTTGGCGTGTATAGATTAATATTAGACATTATAAATCAGCTCAGAGTCTGCTCATACTGGCCCTCTTAAAGAATAGAATAATCTCTGGTTAATGTCACAGTACAGTTATTTCAAATGAATCTGCTAATGCTTTGCTTTAAAAAGACTGGGGGCATAAAGCAAAAGTGCATTGAAGTCCTTCCTCATGAGATGGATCAGGGTGCCATAGGCAGTACAGGACAGGACCCCAATGACATTAATAAGTGTGCAGGACCTTAGCCAGCGCAATGCAACGTCCTGCACTGAATCCACCATGGTAACGTTATGCATTATTTTACCAGACCGGATTAACGGATTTCAATGCACCAATTATATATTGGAGGGCAAGAGAGAGCATACAGGAGGGGTGTAAGTATCTTAGCACACAACTGCATGATTTACATGTTGTCAGATAACTCGGTGAAGAAAAAACACTGCCAGTATTATGATTATAGCCTTGTTACTGAGATTTAAAGTTGTTTAATAGTATTAATTTCCTAGACAGAAAGTATTGTCATATAAAAAATTTGTCTGGTACCTGAAAGTTGATAGTCAAATACTCAAACCACACACATACTTCACTGCACATACATGGGCTGGGAAACTGTAGCAAATTGCAGCTTTCTTACCTACACACACACACACACACACACACACACACACACACGACAGACATATGCAACTGATAAGCATGATTCACTGCATGTAATTTGCATGATATATCCATCACGGAAGTGCTATATCTCTAGAATAGTTGTAACTTTTTAAGCAGCTTCAACTTTCCTGCTCTATGATTGACTTTCTTCCTTTTTAACCAGGGAAATTTGTTTAACGATGCATCTTCCAGACCTCAGCCATGTTCAGTGAAAAGTTTGCAAAAGGAGTAAGAAAGCACTGGCTATGGGTGAGATGTTTCTCAATGGATGCTAGTGAGGCCTCAGAATGCTCTGGAGTTTCTCCTTCAGGCCTGTATTTATCCATAAAGATGTGTGGATGCAACATCTTTCTCCTGCCCTGCTTATCCTAGTCTGAGATACGGTGAACACACAAATGTGATGCATTTGCTCTGGACTGGAGGCTAGTATTTTTTATGTTCTATATGACTTAAATAAGCAAACCTGTATGTGACAAAAAGCAGCCATATTCAAAGATAGGCAAGATTTTTTGAAGGGCCCAGAGGAAGACAATCCCACCCATAATCCACATGGAAGTCCTCTCAGATAGTTACAGGACAGCTTTCTTGCTAGCACACTTACAAGCATGTGGCTACTGCAGACCAGCACCTACAGTGCAACTTTCTGGGCACAGCTTCATGGAACAGGCAGCTTCCCACATGTTTCAAGAAGATTTTAAGCCATGTGAAGAAGCACAGCAATGGGAAGGATCTTCAGGGATTTGTGCATCTGGGCTGCGCTGGGCTGGTCCAGGCCTAGGCAGGCATTGCCCATCCCAGTTTAACAACAATCCTGAAACGTCTTAACATGCTTCTTTTGTAGCCCAAGCTCCTGTAGTTTGTGTGTGTGTGGGGGGGAGGGGGCAGAGGTGTTAATCCTACCACAAAGATTTCATCACCTCTTTTGGCCTCAGATTCTCTTCATATTCTAAAAGTACTTTACCCATCCACTGCAAGAGTGATTTTCTCCTTAAGACAAAAATCGGTACATACCATTTATCTGAGGGAGAACCAGTTCTGCTATGCAAGACGCAACAGGCAATCACCCAAAGAGCATAAATGCAAAGTTATGCAGCAATTTTTGTGCAATCCTGCCTTAAGTTATCTGCTAGTCCGTGCCATTGATTAAATGACATTGGGAATTGTATGCAACAGGGGGCTACTTCCTACATGGGAGGCTTGCCCTATTGATGAAGGAAATTGCAGACATTCTGAATCAAAATTGTCATGCCCATCAAAGGTGCAGATGTTTACCTGTGCACATAATTGCAGCATAAGCCGAGATCCCAAAACCCAGGCCAGCAATTCAATATTACTGCTGGAAGCTTCATCTTGCACCTTTTAGACACTGTTTGATACTGAGTAGTAAAAAAGAACTGCAGCACACAGTGTAGGGCAGGGGTGGGCAATTAATTTTCCTATGGGGCCACATGAGAAACTTTGACAGTTGTTAAGGGCCGGACCAATACACTTACAGCTCTGCTCAATATATATCTCTATAAAAACAGTAAATGAAACATTACAATGATACAATGAAAATGAGGAGCACAGAACAACACTAATGAATATTCACAAAAACATTAACATTACATGAAAAGCAATAAATTCAATTCAATTTAGCAGATCCTTCAAAATAAAAGCAGTGCCGTTGTATTGCTTGCATCTATATTATGACGATATATATTTGCATTGACTTTTAATTTGCCAGTGACCTGATGCGGGCCAGTCAGGGTCAGCCATCGGGCCGGATGTGGCCCGCGGGCCGTACAATGCCCAGGTCTGGTGTAGAGAAAAATCTAAGATGCACAGCCGAAGACAAGGGTACAGAAGAGGAGCAAGGAGCTATATATACAAGGCACTGAAGAAGATTTAGCATATTTGAGCCTTCAGCAGCTGAACTACACAGATTTCCAATCTCTCTCTCAAGCCATTAAGGCTGAAGATTTACAGGGTTTTAAAAAGGAGAATAGGGGGAAAGACTGTTCTCCCAGGCAGAATGCTCCATCAGTATGGTCCTAGATTCCACTACTGCACATCATTTGTGAAAAGGGTTTTTTTCCCCCTGTATGCCACATATACCAAATCTTCAGAAATATTTGTCAGTCATTTCTTCTTTCTATCCCTCCACAAAAAAGTAAAGGAAAAAATATAAGAAAGATAAAGACCACAATTTTATACAAACTTACCAGGGAACAAACCCCATTGCACTTTATAAGAATTATTTTGAGTAGCTTTGCCAATTTGACTGCCCTGTCAATTACTAGCTTAAATCCATAAAATGTTGTTACTGTTCTACTGAGATGCTCAAAATTAAAATTTTATATTTTAATGGTTACAGAAAACTAATTTCAAATTTAAATGTTTTTCCCATACAACCATAGCACCCAGAAAAGCTGCTTTTTAGTTTTGAAGTTAAAAAGTTAAAAGTTTATCAGTCTCATTGCTTAATTCTTTAATGTAGCTACCCAGTGGTCCAAAGAAAGTGTCCCAGGAGCCATAGGATTGCCTAGAAGAAGCTTTCTGAGGAACAGATGGTGATAAATGGTGGTGTCAGAGACATGCTGCTGTGTGGAAACACATGTTTCCAAGCCCTCCCAGTCAACCACATCCCCAGCCCAGGAAGACATACCCCATGGGAAGACAAAAAAGCAAAACAGGTCTCTACTATTCTCCATGCTCCATTCTGGGATCAGAAGGCTCCATTTATATGGCTAATCGCCTTTAGGATTGCTCCATAAAGTTTTTTTAAAGTCATTGGTTTTATGTCAAGGTAATTAATATTCTATTTAGATATTAAGAAAGCTGTAATATCTCTGTTATGAGCAATTCAAAACTAAAAATCATTTCACTTCCACAGGATGACAAGATGCAATTTAGAATCAATGTGAATTGGAAGTTAAACTTACCCAAGTTCAAGTTGTTGGCATATCACCGATGCATCAGTATCATCCCAATGACTGCTGCAGATTATTCCCCAGATTCCATTCAGGTAAATTTCAACAGTGCCTTCAAACTCATTTTGGCCACCCCTAAGTCTCACCGAGCCTGTTTATTAAAAATATGGATGTTAAAATATATGTATGTATCACATTTTCTATAGTTACAGTTTATACAGAAACCAAATTAAAAAGAAAGTTTTGTGTTCTAGCGCTTTTCATTATTATGAAGAAAGCCTTCCTGGATTTTTTTTAAGTTTGAGGATATGAAAAGTCCACTGCAGATATATGAAATTGTGATTTGGTTTGCATTTAATGAGAACCAAGAGATTCCAGTTGAGTATGGGTTCTTGAATTGTGGGTTGTCACTACATACAAACTTTGCACTACGGTCTAACTATGGAATGCTAACAACAAACAACCCAGAGTTCAAAACTCAATAACAAACCATGGGTTCTCCTCCTGGGTCATCTTAGATAACAACCCATAGTTAAACCATAATAGTGGGTTTGTACATAACAACACTCTACAATTCAGTAATATGTCACAATTTAACAACAACCTATACTCCATCCCTGCTCTAGGTTACGATTAGATCTGAACATTATATTAAAAGGAAGGAGGAAATACAGACTTCATATTACTTGCACATAAAACCATGCCAGCCATATTCTTGTTCCAGAAAGTTTTAAGGGATTTCTCCATCAGCATTCTTTGGCATAATAATGCCTCTTTATTTGTGTGAAGGGCATTCTCTATCAGAACTGGTCAGAACTGGCTAATAAACTTTGACCCAGATTCATACAATTGCTTTGTTAAACCCTATTTCTAGAAATAGTCTTTTGATTAAAAAAACCCACATGGAACATATTACTATTGTGGACGTGTTCAGTAAATGTCTATGCCATCTCAGAGCAATGCAGTCTTTGCTGAGAAGTTTGCTGGGTGGGGGGTGAGGGTGGACAGGCAGGAAGAGAGGTTACTTCCAAGGGTGCTTTGTAACATGGTATAAATATGACAAGTAGAAAAAATGTGTTTGCCATTTACCCTGAAAGTTGAAAGCCTCCAGTGAAGTCACTCACTTAGAAAAACAGCACAGTAAAATCACTCCAAAGCAACAACATCAAGAAGTGCCTGCTGCAATTAAACGGCTTTGCAATATTTCCCAAAAATAGATCAAGAGGGGCCTTGGTGGGTTTCCCTAGAGAGGAAACTCCATCCCACAGCAGCCACTATTGAAAAGTTCATGATACATGATGTCGTTAGTCCATTATCCCCACCGGCCAAATGGCATCTGGAACAGGACTTACCCCTGTGAAGTAGGGATGAGCAACCTGGGGTTATCCAGAAGTTGGAGCCTGCAACTCTTGGCTGCTGTAGCCAGAATAACTAATGCTGCGGGTGGATGAGAGTTGTAGGTCAAAACATCTGGAGAACCGTAAGTTACCTGACCTTGTCTTAAAGTACAAGGATGCCCATATATTTAATCTCTAGTAATAGTTTAGTATCAGATATTTCATTTCCTACTGCATTGTAATAATGGAATATGCTTTGACACTTGTAATGAATAAAAAATACCGTTATGCATTTGTACAGGCACAGAAATGCCAGCTTTACAGAATTTACATTCCTTTTAAAAAATACACGTATTAAGAAAAAGGACACTGCATAATACAGGCAGGCACAAATAGTATATTTTACCTTCCATCTAATTCCTTTGGGTTTAAAGGAATTAGAAAACAATCACACAGATTTTTCAGTGACCCATATAAGAGTATGCATGGCACAGATGCCAGGAGTTTATTTCAGGCCAAAGAATGCATTTATTCATACTTGACCACAACCAGACACTACTTCGCAAAGCTCATGTGAATTTATGGTCTGTATCTCATCATGTCTAGAAATTAAATAAGCAGGCAGCCCTCATTCTGAAATACCACAAGCCTTAAGTTCTAGAAAAAATGAATGAAAATATAGAAAACTGAAAAGATAGCTGATAATTAGCATTATGCTAATCCGACAGTATAGAAATGCTTTAAATAAAATAAATAAATATTAAGAGGCTGATGAGTATACTCCAGTTTTATAGACAAAAGTATTATATAAGGCAATAGTAGATATGTACGCAGCTTTTATAACAGCTACTGAAAATAGTGACATATGCTGGGGACACAGGATTTTGCTGGCCATATCCTGAAGGGAAATGCCTTCCATATAAGTTTTTGTCATACTGCGTCTTCAGTTTTCCTCTTTTACATTTCATTGCACATAAGAGATCATTGTTCACTGTACAGTTCTGAATAACTGGACCTATTTTATAAGAGCTAAACACTATGATATCACACATTTTTCTAGATCCATTAACTCACATTAAAAACATCTAAGGCAAATCATTGACAAGCAACTAAAATAAAGAAATAATCTCTACAGCAGTGTAAGATTAGAGGGAAGTCCGTGTATGCACAGCACCAAGTCAAAACACAATAATGGCAAGACAAGTAGCAAATGTAGCAAAAGCAGCACTCCTACCTTCAGAGTACCTGGAAATGGGGCTGCTTTCAAAAGAGATTTATTGGCAATGTCCCTACACTAGCAGTCCCTAGAAGGCCTCCTTCAACATACTGCTAATGTGGGAACACCATGATGAAGTCAAGGAACTCAGTCTATACTACCTTCCGTACACTGACTGGTTCGCATGACATGTCAACCCACTGTGACAAACTACCCATGGGAAGTTGAGGTGTCATCCAAACCCAGGCCATATCCTGAACACTGACATTTTTCAGCACATGCCTTGTTCCAAGGGTTGCTCGAAGCATGACGAGTTGCTGTGTTACCCAAACCCAGGGCAGCAATTTTACAATGTGTTGCTGGTATCAGCTAGTGAGCCACTCAGCAAGAACAGGAAAATTCCCTGCTGCTCTTTAGCTTTGCTACTGCTAATGACAGCCCCTCCACCGATGTCCAAGCGACACTTCGGAGTGACTGTTAGTGGTTTGGTACCCAGTTTCTTGGCCCCTCAAAATTGTACAAATATGCAAGTGATTTACTATTTGGACAGTAGTAGTTTTTCACAACTGCTGTCTGTCTTGCATAATCTTACTGGTCAATATTGCCTGTTTCATCTGTCCAACACAGTAGCAAAGTGGAGTACATAACAGACTGACAAGGCAAGTCTGCACGTAGTCTACTTTACACTGTTTTTAGGGACCAAGTGTCTGGCTGTCAACTGAAATGCACTGGTAAAGGGAGGAAAGCAGCATATGTCTCTTCACCGCTCCCCTGTTGAAAGAAAACAGAGCTGTTGGCAGCCCCCTTGGTTCAATATCCATGAGGGGTGCCTGCTGCGTCCACCAGGACATTGCCTAAGAAAGGTGTGCTGTTTTGGATGCACACAAGTGCTCAAGCCACAGTGGCCAGTTTGACCTTCAGCTAGAGTCACTCTTGACCTTCTTTGGTTTAGGACCATTAACCATTGTTTTTCTACTGGCTATCACTCTAACCAGGAGGTAGGCCACTGCATATTTGAATAAAAGGAAAGAAAATGCCACAGCAAATAGATAGGCTCTTTGAAGGAGAGATAGGAATCATATTAGAGCTGTAACACTAAAAATGCCAGACTTTAGACCAGCCTGAAGCCTTGTTTTACTCAATCACGAATCAGAGATTATTTCAGGTTATGCTCACACTGAGAATGCTAGACTCTATACAAACAGGCCATTTCAGAGCATTTAAGCTACATACTCTTGCTGACTATGTAGCAATATATAAACCACAGTATCTCTTCATGGAATCCTACATTTTGCCCACCAGAGATAACATTATGTTTACATGATGCTCCAGCCTGAAAGTGAATGAGTAATACAGAATTCTTGTCAGGACATGATGAGCCCATTGCAGCTCATTTCTGACTCTGATTCATCCTTTTGAACTGCAAAATACATCTGGGTGCAAAATGAGTGCAAGGACAAAGTCTGAGTGACTATAATGTGAACACACACAAAAAGCACAGCAAAATATCATTGCCTTTTGTATTGTGGGAATGACATATTCATTCTGGCTACAATGTACAGAAATCTAGCCACATTTAAACTCTATTGGTAGAGGGGATTTCAAAGGAAACAATGCAAGTGCTCAGTGCAGGACTTAATTACTAAAGCCTAAACATTTTTCCTGGGATTGATTGCTCTCTTGTTCTCTCTCTCTCTCATTATATAATTGTACACTTTACAAAGAATGACTCTTACAAAGAATAGGTTTGACAGATCCCACTTTTTGGGACTTGCAATCTAAAAATGGACACACAGTAGGAAAAAGCTAGCAGGAACAAAACGAAGGTAGGGGTAAAAGGGGAGCAAGAATGTGCAATGTATACAGCTCCACTGATACAGTCAGCCTCATTTCATAAAGCAGCCTTCCTCAGCCTGGTGCCTCCAGCTGTATGAGCATGAATATGCTAGACTGTAGTTCGATGCAAACCCATCTGGATGGCATCAGGCTGCAAAAAGCTGCAGTAAAGTCCTAGGATGATAAATTATTCCAAAACCCTCATAGAATGAAAGAGATTACTACGGAACTGATTTTAAGTAACCAGAATTGACAGATGGCCAATATTCTTATTAGAGCCAAACTAACCTTGCTCAAAAGTATGCAACCCCAGAATATTCTTCTTCATGGACGGCATGGCTATCTTTGTTTGTCTGTTTGTTTGTTTTAAATATCTGTGCTCTGGATTCCAGTAGTCAAATAAGTTTCAGTGAGGCTTACACGTGCTTTTTCTGGATTGCACCCAAGCTTTTAAACTGGAAGTCACCAGGAATCAGTTCATGCTGTTTATATTCAGCCTAGCAATTTGAGCTCCTTTGGATCAGTCCCCAGCAGAAGCATTTGATACCTCCAGCTATCCTTTCAAAAAGATTATGTTACACTTTCCAGTGCAAACTAGAAGGGGGAATTCAGACTAGTATGGATGAGATTTATTCTGTTAACAGATGCCACACGCTCTCAATGAGGCAAGATCAAGCACAGAAGATAAATGAGAGGGCACAAGAAGTAATTCTCAATCAATTCTGTATGCTGCCCTTTTCTAGTGCTGCTGAATCGATTATG